GCATCGGTGTGTCCATCGTGAATCTGAATCAAAATGACCTCTAGCCGCCATAAGGCAGCTAACTCGACACTCAAACTCATGACTCTTGACCGAGTTGCCTTTACACTCACGCGCCCCATCGCTGGCTTCCCGCTTCTAGCTGGTCTCGCTGACTCAGGATTGATGAGCTTTCGCGTAAGTCATTCACACCGCAAGCCAACATCGCCACTGTCGCCCTAGAAATCCGTCACTAGCGTCGACATCGAGCAACTCATCCATCGCTGCAGCCTAGTGTCGAGCACCAAAGAGGAGCGCGGGCTTTGCAAAGGCTACACCGCCAAGACACGGGTAGCACGTGAGCTACGCAGGCTTGCCTTTGCCTTTCGAGCAGTGTTGTCATGTCGTCGGCATCGCTGAGTCGGTTATTGCGTCAAGACATCACCTCTGCTCCTGGCCTTGTCAGTCTGCTCCTCGCACTTGGTCTCGGCTACTATCTCGGCACCAAAGTCTCCTCCGCCTCCGGCAGCAGCTTCAAGCAGCTAGGTCACGGGATCATAGGAGGAAAAGGAGCGCAAGATCAAGACGACTCCGACGAGGACTCGGACGACGAGGACTTGGGCGAAGTGATTGACGAAAAGGATTGGGTCAACATGCAGAGCTTGAGAGCAAAGCTCATGGAGGAGTGCAAGCTGGTAAGTCTTGAGAGGATGCACGGGTCATGTAGTGGGCCTATTGAGCTGCAAGCGTGGCCAGCACGCGGGCTGTTGTCAAGCCGCTATGCTTACTCAAAGAGCGCTTGCTGCTGGCAGGTCCTGATAGTGAGGACAGATCTCAAGATGGACAAGGGAAAGATCGCAGCGCAGTGCGGGTGAGACACGATGTTGGCTTCCAGCTCGACGCACTGCTGATTGCTGCTGCATCGACTGCACATCAAGCCACGCGACCCTTGCGTGCTATAAGACCATGATGGCTGCTAACCCTGGTGTGAGCGAGGCCTTGTGCGCGGCATCGAAGCGCGGCTATCTCATCATACTTTCTCCTGTTTTACTTCTTCAGATCGTGAGGCAGTGGGAGCGTATCGGGTGAGAATGCTCGCTGGACCATTTAGCCCGTAGCTTCGCGCGTCTGACACTTGCCCTGATTTGGAGCACGCCAGCCAAGCCAAAGTGGCACTCAAGTGCTCAAGCGAGGAAGAGATGAGAAGGCTGGAAGAGTCAGCAAAGGCTCTCAATCTGTGCGCCAGGAGTATACGGGACGCGTGAGTCTCGGAATGCATTTCTTCCTTTCCACTGCCCACTTCATGCTCAAAAACGCGGATTTGCTTCTTGCACGTCCTGCAGTGGACGTACACAGGTCGCAGCAGGCTCTCGAACAGTGCTGGGGATTGGCCCAGGTATGTAACATTTTCAGCGTTGCTTTGCTGCAGGGAGGAGCTGACGCACACCATCTACATCGATGGACTTTCCCCGACGTAGGTCCAGTGAAGCTGATAGATCAGGTCACCGGTCATTTGAAATTGCTATAGTTATCACGAGTCTTTCTCCGCAGCGCTCAAGTCTTGAGCGCCGGAGTACTGGTGAATCTGTTATGACTGAACGCTTCTGATTCGATGCTTCTGAAATGCGCAGGTAGTGTTCGCCATAATTGTTCCCGCCAATTAGAAAAGACAAAGACAAGCATTCATGGCTAGCAAGTGCATGCTTCAGTCGACCCGCAGTGCTTGAACAGGATCTTATTCTTGAATGCAAGGCAAGAAGGCATTGATTCTCTTCTCGTTGGATTTTGGTGGCCAGAGCCGAGCTTTCTCTCTTGATCGCGTGCAGACATGATGAGGAGAAATTCCTGGGCCCGCGACAGCTGGCAGACCCACTTGACCACATTGTTGAGCACTCGTTCGGCATGAATGAGCTGCTTGGTCAGCTTTACAAATGGTGTCTCTGATGCGTCTCATGGACGAGCGAGCTGACCGTCCCTTGATTTGGCCCCTCATTTGCTGCTTAATGCTAGCCTTCACGTTCAAGAGCTGCTGCTTGGCAGGCTTCTTTTCCGATGCGTTGCCTGCAATCGGCTTTCGCCGGCTACAACCAGAAGGCGCCCACGCTGGTGCCTGCACCCCTGCTCCATGCGTTGAGACTTCAGCAGAATGTAAGCAGTTAGGCGGTATGCAATGAGTGAATGTGAGCTGCGGACCGCCTGCAGTCACTCTCTGAGCCGTGTCGACGGACAGCTTCGATTGCAGATCTTGACGACGCTTGATTGTACACCGGACGCAGCAGCGGCGTTTCGGTAAAGACTTTTGCAATGCGTTGATCTCGCGAAATCTGAGCCACGCGCTCCTACAAATGTGTGATTCTGATCTTTCTCTCATCAAAATCAGACTTGACACTTCAATACTTTCAGCTATTTCGCGATGATTAATGAGCTGCGCAGGCTTGATCAGGAGTTTCTTCGGATCATGCAGCTGCCAGCGACGTAGCAGCAATCTGCAGTGACTTCGACAAACGATATGGGTTTTTTGCCCGTCAGCGCCCTGTTTAGTCGTAAAGATACTCTCTCAATCGAAGCTATGCTAGCTGACAAGGCGCCCAAAAAGCTTTTTTTATCTATTCTTCGCACCAGACATTTTGGATTGCTCTTGCCAAATTTTTCGTTTCCGTAATGCAAATGCTGGAAGTGTTGCATCGTCTGTAAAAAGTTGCACAATGTCATGCTTATTCAGGATATTTATTATTCCGAGTCCGGCTTTTGCTATCTTTCTGCTTCTCATTGTGCAACGATACATTTCGAGCGTGGTAGAGACAGTTGCCGAAAGCATTTTTTAGCCGATGATAGCATTTTTGACGCGTGCAACGGCATTGATCCTCGCTCCAATGCAAACGTGATGTATCGCGACTACTCACGTCGGAACTTTGTTCACAAAGAGGGAATAGCATTAGCTTGCAAATTTCACGTTTGCCCCAATCGATGTTGCTGATTGAGCACATTGCTTTGATGCGATCTGCAGGGAGTGGGCTGCATTGACGCGTCAAAATGATTGCGCCTCCTCTGAAGACGACTTCATGTGCTTGCTGCGTCTGCGCTTGGCAGAGGTGAGTGGCTTCTCAGCAGGCACTTCATCCAATGGCAGGCTGATCGAGCTGGCATGGTGATGAGTGGGTCGTCTCTTTGCAGATGCTGCTGCCTCACGTGGCGTCTCCCGTGGCGTCTCCCGTGGCGTCTCCCGTGGCTTTTTGCGTGGCATTGTCTTTAGCGTTGTGCTTGCTAGGGAGATCCTTGAGCCGCTGGATTGTTTGCTGCGTATGCAGGTCCGCTGCGGGGAGCTGTGTGTAAGCTGATGAAGCAGTCCAAAAGGCGCAAGACATCTAGTCTCTCACCCAAGCGAGCAAACTGCTGCTGCGCTCCTCTTCTGGAGTGCGATTCAACAAGGGCGTTGTCCTTGCAAGCAGCACCTCATCCCCATCCACAAACCCGTAGACCTGGCCATCCTTGCTGGCAAAGCAATAGATGTTGCTGCTCTCGATGCTGTCGACGTAACTGACAATTCGCTCTTGGCCATTCTGCGTGCGCGAGAATCCCATTTCACCACTCAAGAACAACGGTGATGGCAGGTGCTATGGGCCCACACATGGACGAGCGGTCGACCAAATGTGTGTGCAATCTTTCGAAGGAACTTTACTCCGCGAAGCTCAATTAGTCGACAGCTACCCTGCGGGTTCGAGCTCGTTCAAAGTGTAAATTGTAAACACCAGCTAATAAGTGGACCGTCACTATTGTTCGAGCATCGCTCATTCGAAAGCTTGAGAGGCCCAGATGCTCTTCGAGACGCGCTCGGCTAACGGCGCTAGCACGCCTGTGTATGCTTTGAACCGAACGATGTGAAGCGTATCATTGATCTTTGTGCACGGGTGGGCCCTGTCAATTCTCAGTCTGTTAAACTCCTCGCTTTCCACGCGAAGCGAAAATATGCAGCCGTATCCAACGCAAAATCAGTTATGCAGACCCGCGATTTGGCGTATAATAGCCAGATGCAATGGCATCGAATGCATCCCTCTTTCACAAATGATCGGAAGTCGAGGTGACGATCTTGGTTTGGTCCATCAGATTCGAAGCGTGCCGAAGAGACGTTTTTGGGTAAAAGTATCCCCTCTTCTTAACGCGAACTTTGAACGTATTTGTGAGTTCGTGTCAGAACCATGCATTTAGGCCGAGTCTGCCGAGCATCAACAATGAGCCAGGAGAACATCGGAAGAGTTCGCGTCCTGAATTTTACTATGTAACGTCGATGGCACTCTTCGACGCCAGAGGTCACAGAACCCAAGTACGTAGTTGGTGCGTCAGGTAAGCTCGCTCTCGTATTGAGCCTTGCCTTCGCAATCTCGACCAGCCTGATCGTTGGCGCTTCAGGCCGACCTGTCGATTATGACTCTCGAGAACAACGTATCCCACAAGGAGCATCAAGCAGCTCGGCTACCCGTGCGCGCTCTCATGTCAAAACTCGAGAATTGTCAACACAACATTGCAGCCGCTGGCGTGCCTAGACACAACATGAGTGACCAGTAGGCAATGTGTGCCGAAAGATTTTGTCAGCTGCGGAAGAGATCTATGTCTCTTCCGACTCACTGGCTCCATCACGACTGTTTGGTTTCTTTGGCTCCGAATTTTGATCACTTGTGAGAGAGAGCCCACTTCAACGCGCCTCAAAGTAGAGTATCCAGAACGTGACTTCGATAGCGTCAGTTCTCTCGCTTGGAACAGCATCACTGTGACCGAAAAAATCATGCCCTGCTCGGAGCAACCTGCGCTCAAATTTAACCGCTGCACTAATGATTCGGAAAGTCAAGCCAGACTACTAAGCACAGATTTTTGGGTTCTAGCAGAGAAGGCAAGGTCCCTCAACGACATGCAGGGTCGGACTAGATCAATTGGCCAAATTTACGCAACACGCAGCTGATACCGAGGCTTGGAGGCGTTAATTCATATTTCATGCTCGAGTTCATCTCGCAATTGAGAAAAGGTGGAGACCATATTGTAGAAGCCGAATGAGACTCGAGTAGGTTGAAGGCAGTACGGAAGAGGAGATATGCGAACGTTGGGACAGATAGTCGACCCGAATGTCGGCAGTACCTGCTCGTCGAAAAAAAGCGCACAAGCCAGCGCTTGATATTTTTGTGTCTGGTACGAGATGCTTGGCAGCAAAGCAGATAGCAAAGTCACAACGCGGCGAGCGCTTGCAAATCAAGGGGCACAACTTAATGTGATGACTCTACGTCAGAAGCTTAGTCTTAGGGCTAGGGACGCCAACCCCAATTGTCTTTAGCTAAACGAGTTGTACGACATCTTCTCCCAGATGCTTCAAGGTCAAAAGTCAGACACCAACACAAAGTAGCACGCTGTGGCAGGGCAGACCAAGGCCCGTGAAGCGCGAGCCCTGGCAACGAAAGCCAACAACAAAGGTCTGGCATCAAGAGACACAGAGACAGGCGCTGCATTGTGCTCTGAAGACATGCGCGAGTACAATAATGCTGCGGCTTGGAATGGCAATGTGAATTGGGATGCTCATTAATAGTACGCGGTAACAGGTGAAGCTTTGACTTGCAAATCGGAACGCTTGGTGGCAGTACACTAATCTCTTGAGCACCACCACTTTTGTACATTGTACAATCCACGCAACAACAACCTTGTCAGCTATACTGTCAAGCACAACCTCTTTGCAAGCTTTTCAGCACCCCACCCCTAGCCATACCTCAATGTTCCCCACACCCCTAGCCATACCTCAACATCCTCCACACCCATGCCCTACTCCCACAATGCCACGCCAACCCCTCCCTCCACCTTGGAGATCAAAGACCCCCTCTATGTCCAGAGCAACTCCAGAGCCAGCACCAACAGCACCCTCTGGCACGGCCAACCCAGGCCAGCCAAAAAAGCTCCTCGCCAGCGCAAGCCCACCAAGAGCCTGGCATCCACCAGTACTGAGACTGACGTGCCAACCGCAGAGGCATGGACCAAGGCCAGCGGTGAGGATGAGTTTGGTTATCTGGTAGAGTCAGAATACGCCCAGAGCACTGCTCTTGAGCCATGTGGGACCTCTGTTGGGGTTATGGAGATGGAACTCCAGGATTTTGACAATGGTGAAGCAGCTTTGGCACCTCCTGCCAACCTTGTGCCCTGGAGAAAGGACGCACCCGTCCCCTTTGATGATGTGGTGGAGCATCAGCATTCAATTGAGGAACAAGTCTCCAACTTGGATCTCAATGGCATCATCAAGGAATGTTTCGGCCTGGGCTACAATGTAGTCTTTGGCATCCCGCGCTCACAAGGAGCACAGGTGAGCAAGCAACCCTCCAGATACGTCTCTCTGCGCTGTGCTGATCATGCTGCTGCTCACCCCTACCCATCAGAAACACTTTGCAGCCTGCATGCAGGTTCTGGGCATTCAAGAGCCCCTGGCCACCTTGACTGCGGTATGTGATGTGCTCACTGGCATCATTGCACCAGGCTCAGCCAGCATCAACAAACGCCTGGTATCTGTCCTGGGTGCTGTGGTGAATGCAAGGCCCGATGCCGTCAGGCGCACTCTTTACTTGCAGATCTTGCACCAGTGTGTTTTTCTGGGCAGGCAGCTTCAGTGGGCCAAGGAGCATGAGAAGGAGATGAGCTTCCATAGTGCCACAGCTAGGAGGCAAGAGCTGAAGCGCAGGACTGCAGTGCATGGAGAGGACGCCTGCATGCCTGTGGTCTACCTGGGCCAGACAATGGGCACTGCAATGGAGTGTGCCATTGCTGATTACAAGAGGGCTAGTGCGCGTGTACAAGGCAAGCATGAGGGGATGTGTGCTGATGCATACATTTGATCTCTCAGGCTCAGGATCTGGAGGGGCCATCTTCTTTTGCTCGCCTGACCCTGTGCAAACAAGGTCGCGATGTTGGTTTTGAGGCCATCAATGCTGACTTTGGCCTGCTTTCCCTGCTCAAAGAGCGCAGAGATCTTGCCTTCCATGGGCTTCATGGCGGTATTGATGGCATTTGCGAAGTCTTTCTTGATGATTGACGTTGCTTTGGAGAGCTGACTCATCTTGCTACGCACGCCACAGAGGTCCTTTTTGCGGCCACCAACAATGACCTTGTTGTCTTGTCCCTGCTCAAAGAGCGTAGAGATCTTTCCTTCCATGGGCTTCATGGCGGTATCGATGGCGTTTGCGAAGTCTTTCTTGATGATTGACGTTGCTTTGGAGAGCTGACTCATCTTGCTATGCACGCCACAGAGGTCCTTTTTGCAGCCACCAACAATGACCTTGTTGTCTTGTCTGTGCTCAAAGAGCATAGAGATCTTTCCTTCCATGGGCTTCATGGCGGTATTGATGGCATTTGTGTAGGCCATCTTGTTGCGCGGATTTGACTGGTCCGTGTGGTCCTTGAGAGCTGCCAGCAGTCCTCCTCCTCCTTACCACTGGTTTGCTATCTTTATCCCTGGTGGAGAAGATTGCAACACCTTTTACCGCAAGTGTGTTGCAGCTGGTTGCACCTTTTTGTTGGAGCCAGCATTTGCCCACCTCGGCTGCAAGATTGCTGCTGCCTCTCCTGTCAATGCCATGGTGCATCTGCTCAACGCCGTCCCTGATTTTGTGCACATCTCTGGTTTGCTTGACTGGCCAGTACCAGTCGTCACTTCTCTTTCCTTGGCCATTCCTCTTGGTCACAATGCTATGCGCCTAGAGCACAAGCATGTCATTGCTTGTATGTTTGCGGTCTCTGTGCATGTGGTCCTCCAACCCTCAGTCCCGGTCACCACCCTCTCTCCTGCTCTGCAGGATGTCTTGGATGTCTTGGACGGCCCGGCGCCTCAGACAACGGACAGCGGCTCTTATTTTTATTGGTTTGACTCTGATCCCACCTTCAATGCCAGTCAGGATCTCAAGCACAGATACAAAGCGGATGCACAGGTTGTAGAGAAGCCTAGACTGTGTATTCCTGGCCATGGTGGCCAGCACTTTGCTTTTACTTTGAACAGTGCTTGGGCTGGTTGCCATATTGTTGGTCATGTTGGGTTTAGGGTTGGGCAAAGAGTCAAGTTGAACATCAGCAAGGAGGGCTCTATGTATGGAGTGCCCACAACCACCACCCTAGCCAACACATTCATTGTTGCAAGGCTGACTTGAGATCTCAGCAAGCAGAACACCAGACTCTGAACGTTTCAATCTGGCCTTGAAAAACCCAAAGATGTCCTTCAAAATCTTGGCTCTCTGCAATGCTTGCTGTGTGGGCTCAACAAATCTGCTTGATGTTGTCTCAAAGGCCTTGAGCTTGAAGGTTGGTTGCTTGTTGCAGGAACTCCAGTGCTGATCACTGAGGTCTGCAAGACTCAGCTTTGCTCTTACAAGTGTTGCGCTCTTAGACCATTGGCTCTTTAGAACCAAGACTTCATTTTTCATGCATTGCATGTTTCCCTGAGCATAACATCCCACCAGAAGATTGATGGAAGTGTTCATGCCCTTCACCTCTTTCCTCAATGCTGACAAGGTCTTTTGTGTGGCTGGTCAGGCCGCGATTCCTGAGCCCAAATTGGACAATCTCAGCGCAGCTTTCAAGCAGGCACTCGAGCAAGTGGGTGCTGCCTCCTACCATGTTGTAATGCTTGGACTTGCGCACACAAGGAACAAACTGAACGCTGAGCGCAAAGCTTGAATTGCTGTTGAGATTGAGCTCGCTTCTAAAGAAGAGATGATCAAGGCATTGGGGAAGAAGAGCTCACATTTGTCAAAGGAGCTTGAGAATGCCAATGATGAGCGTAACTGTTTCATTGCCATTGAGGCCAAGCTCGCTTCAAAGGAAGAGACAGTCAAGGCATTAGAAGAGAAGAGTGCGCATCTGGCAAAGAAGCTTGACCACGCCAATTTGGAGCAAGAACATTGGATTGTGATCAAGTGCAAGCTTGCTACCAAAGAGGAAACCATCAAGACACTGGATGAGAAGAGCGCAAATTTGGCAAAAGAGGTCAATAATGCCAACTCCTTCCTTCATGTCTCCAACAAGCACACTGCTGCATTCACCTTGACAATGTACGAGGCGGATGCAGAACTTGCTGAGTACAAAGACAAGATCAAGTTCATGGAAAAGCAGCTTGAGCTTGTTTGTGGCAATTTGGAGCAAGTGAAGGCAGAGCAGGAGGAGCAAGCCAAGGCCAAAAACACAATCCCTGACCTCTGTGCAAGAATTTTGACCAATCTTCAGGAGGGCTTGCAAAGGCGGCGGAAAGAGGCCGCTGAAGCGTGCGGCCAGAAAGGCATAGCAAGCATTTTTGAAAAGCCATATACCTTTTGGCGTTCACGCATGGTCACAACGCAGCACCTTTGCCTCTCTTGCCCCTCTTGCCTCCCTTGCCCTCCTCGTTCTCATTGCCTTTTCCACTCTGTTCTTCTGCGTGTTCCTTTGCCTGCTCCATTCTCTTTCTGTCCAACCCCACACGCCCTTTTTTGTAGGCCTGGGTCAAACATCATTACCCACCTTTGCCGGCCCCCTTTCCTGTCTTCTCTTCCACTGCACTTGGCCCTCCTTGGACCCCCAACACAGGATGTCATTGCAATTGCACTCACTCACACGCAATATTTGTATTGAGAACTCGCAGACAACGCCAATCCTGATTCAGGCCTAGAGGGCAGCGGTGCCTCGATGCCTTGATCGGCGGCTTTACAGCAGCCTCTTGATGTGACAGTGCAGCATTTTCCTTTGGCACATGCTGGCAGCGGCATTAAAACCAAGTCTAGTCTTCAGTCTTCCATGATCACAGAGGCTCTTGTGACTTCTGCCCAAAAGAGTAAGAGCAGCAGCAAATGTGGTACAGCATCGCGAGCTTTCTCACCAACAGATTCAAAGCAGACAATGAGAGTGCGCGCGCACACTTTGTCTTACAAATCTTGATCCAGCCAAATGACAACACCACCAATCTTACCTTCTGAGCACGTGGCATCTTCTCAAACTGTCGCACGTCCTGAGGCTTGGGCGCTCCGAGAATCCTCAATCATCCCTCTGGTCTGTGGTCACCTGTAGTCTTTGCTTTTGTACCTCTGTCTGCTTCATAATCTTTTCACGTTACAAATCATCTGACATGATACATGCGCGGCTCAACATTTGTCCACCGCCTCACTCTCAGCGCACACGCTGTCCATTCCAAATGAGCAACTTGGCTCTCAAACTTTTATGACCAATGGGTTGGCACATGTTGAACATGCCTGCTGTGGTATCAACCTTGATCCTGGATCCACTTATCGGAGAGTAGGCTCGCTGCACACTGATCGCTTGTATGCATGCTCAACGGCCACCGTGCAGCAGCTATTGTCACCTGCTTGTAAGGCTTGGGTACCTGCAATGGCCTTCAGACCAACCTGGCCTTTGTTGTGCCATTTGTCTGCCAGATTTTAGGTCGCTTGCTTGCATATCTTCACCACCAATTCCTTCCACTGGCTCACCATCTTTCTCGTCGCTTAGAGACTCTCCCTCCTCTCACCAATCTTGCACACATACTTCCAGTTGAGCCTGCACCGAGCTAAGCATCAGCTCTCAAACAGCAACCTCAGAAGATTCCTGCTCGGGACAGTCAAAGCCCTCTCATTCCCATTTCAAGTCTCCTTGGTTGTTGGCGGCGTCCTGGGCCACGTTTGCTGGGCAACTTTACCATCACCAGCACAACAAACCATCTTGACTCATCGTGTTACCCGTTCTCATCGCACCCTCTCAGACCAACTTGATAGACAGCACATCCCTGGGCAACAGCCTCTTCGATCAACAGCACATCTTGGTGCGAGCAATCTTGTATTGGTTTCTGGCGCTCCTGACACCGCCGGCTACAAAGGAGGACAAGATGAATCACACCTTTGTGGTACGTCCGCATACATGAAGACTTGACTGTTGTTTGGTGAGGTCCAATTGCTGAATATGCACGCCTCGATTTGGGCTCAGAAGACCGTGCGATGTGGCAACCTTGTAGTCATTCAGCATCATGCCACAACCATCAGCCATGAAGAGGAGGTGGCAGAGCTGACACAAGAGCGCAACGATGCATACAATGCATACGCGCTAGCAGATGAGGAGCGCATTGAGCTGCAAACACATGTCAAGGATGCTCAGAATTGTGCACACCAGGCCTTTCAACAGTTTGAGGTTGCGCATGAAGGCTACCAGCGCCCTGAAGCAGCAAAAGGAGACTTGGAAAGGGGAAAGGAGGAGCTGCTTGGTCAAGTTGCCCAGCTTCAGTACCAGAAAGAAATGCTGGCTCACAAGAACAATCAAGTCAAGCAGAAGAATGCTGACTTGAAAGAGAACAAGCATACTGTGCTTGCTGCTGTGTTTGCTCTGACTGAGCGTACCAAGGAACTTGAGGCGCAGACCTTTGGCTCCAATGCGCCTCTTCTTCAAGTTTTGTAGAAATCAAAAAGCTTGTGCCCCATCCGTCTGCCACACAAGAGCAGCAGCACAAGTATTTCTAGCATCACAGACACCTTCTTTGAGCTGAACGCTTTGAGGTGTACAAGTGCCAATAAACACCTACATCAAGTTGTCCTGAAGACTTCATCTCTGCATTGGCTCAGGAAGTGTCTCTGACAATAGCTGTGCCACTACTGGAGATAACAACTTTGATGGGATATCTGGCTTTTTTGATTCAGCAATCTACCTTGCTTAAGCAGACTCGGCTCCAAAGGGCACAAAAGCACCTTTCGCACTTCTCTCTCTGATAGCTCAGAGTCTTTGATGACAAATGCTCTAGCCTCCCAGAACACCTCAGCTTGGCAAAGGCAACATGCTCCAAGTGCTCTACCTGCCCTATCTATGCGTAATCAACAACTGTGCACAACCTCTGAGAGCTTGGTGCTGCTCATACTGTCATCAGGAGTACATGACTAAGCACAAGGACCACTTGATGACCATGGGACATCAGCACGTCTTGGATTAGCGCTTCACCCACAAGAGTTGCGGCCGCTCATGGTTGCCGCTGAAAGGGACTGTGCTGCCTCTTGCTCCAGAAAGTCGGGATGCAGTCCCCAACGTGCGCTCTGCTTGGCACACTCAACTGAACCTCATCAGTGAAGCCTGGATGCAAGACCATGTGCAAGAGTTCAAGAGCATCCAAATAGAGTTGAGCAACTTAGTCAATTCCAAGTGCAAGCAGAAGCCAGCAAAGCCATGGCAGTCAGCCAGGAGAAGAGAATTTTGCAGCGAGACAAGGAGCTGAAAGGGGTGAAGGATGCCAAGAAAGAGGCAGATCAGGCTCTCTCAAAGTTGCAGGATGAGCGGGCAAGAGAGGCAGAGGCTTTGACTTGAGCCTGCAAGCAGATTGACCTCAAGGCAGAAGAGGTGTCCCCTTTGAATGCGGACAAGGAGCATCTGCAGCGGGAGCTGTCTGCCAGCAAGGCCAGAGAAGAGCAGCTTGTGGCGGATAAACAAGCCCAAGAGAGCCATGTTGAACAGGTGCATACCAATGTGGAAGCGCTGCAAAAGGAGGTGAGCACATTGCAGGGGGAAAAGGCAGAGGCGCAGCGCAATCAAGAGGCTGCTGCAAGTCAAGTGCAGGACAAGGACCAGGAGATTGCCAGGCCTCAGGAGTGAGCAACAAAGATGAGCAAAGAGCATTGTCGCAAGATGAAAGACATGGACAAGAGCACACCAAGGGATATGGAGTATGGCGCCAAGCGTCTAGAAGGTAAAGTGATGCGGCTGCAAGGTGAATTGAATGCGCAGAAGGCAGACTTTGACCAACAGACGCAAGAACTAGATGCCACACGCCAGGACATGATCAAGCTCAAGGGTTTGCACGCCAACAAGGAGCGCCAGAGCAGGACCGCACATAATGTTGAGCTTGAAGAATTGGATGGAGAGAACACATTGCTTTGACAAGAGGTGGGCAGGCAGGTGCGTGCAATTGCAAAGCTGGAGGTAGCTGCTGCGGAAAAGGAGACGCAGCACAAGCACAACTTGACGCTGCAAATGTTGGTGAACAATGGGACACAAGGGAGGCTTGAGGTAGTCCAGCGTCCGGTGACCAAGCTTGAAACGCAAGCAAAGGAGCAGATTGTTGCCATGCAAGCAAAAGATGAGCGCAACCATGGGCTGGATGCGGACATCAAGAGGCGAGATGGTGAGATTGTCACCGCTCAAGATTGCATCTGCAAATTGGAGGATGACAAGAGTTGGCACGAGGCTCGCATCCTTGATGTGGAGCGCACAGCAAGGGAGCGTGGCGATGCATGGACATTACAGCAGAAGACCTGGCGCGCAACAGAGCAGCAGCTGCAGCAATCAGTGTCCATCAAGGACAATCGCATTCAGCATCTTGAGGGGGAGGCTGCGGGATCAAGCGAGCGTGTTCAATGTCTTGAGGGGGAGTTGGTGCAGTCAAAGGAGCGCATTCAGCATCTCGAGGGGGAGGCTGCAGGATCAAGCGAGCGTGTTCATCGTCTCGAGGGGGAGTTGACTCAGTCAAAGGAGCGCATTCAGCATCTTGAGGGAGAGGCTGCGGGATCAAGCAAGCGCATCAAGCATCTCGAGGGCAAGTTGGTGCAGTCCAAACATTCCGAGACGCAGTGGGAACAGCAATTGCAAGAGGTGGCGCTGCAGATCAAAGGTCTCCAAACAGGCTGGAAGGAGCACGTTGAGCGTGTCAAGACGCAGTGGAAGAAACAATCCCATCTTAAAGAAGAGGGGCGGTGGCGCACGTTGAGCGCCTCAACAAGCAGTGGAAAAAGGAGTCAAACTCCTAAAGGAGGAAGCGGTGGCGCACATTGTAAGTGTTGAGGCAAACTTGAAGCAGCAATTTGAACATTCCACGGCGCAGTGGATATGGCGCTTGGAAGGGGCAGTGGGGCAAATGAAAGGTCTTGAGGACAAGGCAAAAGATGCAACAGACCTGCAAGCACTGCTGGTACAAGATCTGGATGCTGCAGAGGACCACCATCATGACCTTCTCACTGCTGTTGCTGCTTGCAAGGAGAAGCTGGCAAGCAGCTCCAAGGCAAGCAAGCTGGGTCTTGAGAGAGCAGAAGCAGCCATCACCCGTGCTCAAAGCAAATGCAAAGCGGTGACCATACAAACGCGTGTGCTGGCCTCAGAGCGCAATGCAACCTAAAGCAAAGTGGTGGCAGTGAAACGGGCACTTCATAGCGTGCAGGGCAATGTGGAAGATTTGCAGCAAACCTTTGACAAGATTACCACCTTGCATGCCAGCAAGCTTGGCTGTCTGCAGTCTGGTGTTGACAAGTCTGGAGTGAAAACGTCAGCAATGCAAGCTTGCCTGGAAGCTCTGCTCATCAAATCGCTTGAAGCCAGGCACTTTTGCCTAAAGGTGAAGCAGCGCGCAATGCAATTGTCCTTTTGAGCAATGACAAATTCTCAGGCTCGCTACGTCAAGCTGCCTTGATCCAGAGGATGCGGGGGGACGGGGTGGCGCTTTGGTGATCTGTAGGGAGTGCAAGTTGGCAAGGATGAGTAGATTCACCTTTACATAGGTGCGTGCAGATCACTTGGCTTTGCTCTGATCGAGTTTTCTGCACTCGCGCGTTGACCTTGCTCGGTCTTGCGTAGCACACTTGGCACAACGTATAGAGGCTTTACAATCGTGATACCACTCCACTGTCTTGCTATTTTGGTTTCTCCAGCACAACCCGGTGCAAACGAGCTGTCACCACACCTTTGCAAAGATTGCTGCCCTGGGTGCAGCTACCTTCTGCTGTAGCACAAGCACAGCTTGTAGAGTCCTGCCAGCAGCAACTTTGCAACAGCATGCTTCCAGTCAACGCAAGGCTGTTTCCGGCATTTGCACACGCCTACCACTCACCGTCCTCTTTCCCTTGCGGATCATCCCAGCACAACATGAATCCGACCAGTCCTGCAGATTTGTTGAAAGCGGCCTGCCCAGCTGCAGGTGCAACTTGATTCTCTGCACATGCATCTGTTGGTAAGACTGCGTTTGCAAGCATAGAGACGCTTGCAGAGACTTGAGGCAAGACAAAGTGAGCTTGGGGGGGGGGAGGGGCCCATTGCGCCAATGCAAGTGCATCAGACCAAGGTCCAGCGGTGTTTCCGTGTTGTTGAGGAGTGTTGTCAACAGATTGGCATACATTCTCTGCCACATTGCATCCATTATGAAGGCCGTCCCACTTTTGAGCATTCCTCATCGCCAAAGATTGTAATATGGCTCTGCAAGGCCAGTGCTGATGGTCTCCAAGAGTTGCACATACCCAACCACTGTAGAATGAGCAGTTTGTGCCACCACAAAGAGCGTCTCAAGCTCCAATGCTGGTGCTGAGGATGATGGTTGATCAAAGTTGTTCACTCTCCCCGTGGTACCATGCTGCTTGGTGGGCATGAGAGAGAGTGAGACTGGTGGAATGGCAGTATTGGCACGCACAGGATTGAGCAAGAGGGAAAAAGACTGACCACTGCGGCCAGGTAATCAAAGACGGGGCTCATTGTCTGAGACTACTGGAAAGAAGTAGACCCCATTGATGCTCGTAACGGTCCTGAGTCCATCTACAATGTCTGCCACTTGCTCTGGGTCAGCACCCAGGTGCATCCAAGCAGCAGCTGCAAACATCAGCTGAATTCCTGAGCGGTGAATCTCTGCAAGATGGGCTTCTGCTGGAAAAGAGGTAGAAAGGATCATAAAGACTGGCACAGATGCGCAAATCTCCAACACATCTGGCACAGCGTTGATGGGATGTACCCTCAATTCTACCCAAGCATCTGCAGACAGACCCCTCCCAATTGAGTCAAAGTCAGGGTGTGCAATGATGGCAGAGTTGAGTCTCAGCAGCTCCCTGTACTCGCTCTCTCCTATGCAAAGTATTGCATCGAGGTCCTGTGGGAAAGGGGCGCAGGTCAGCATTTGCTTGCGCAGACATGGCCGCATCTTGTTCAAATCCCCTTGCTCAACTCCTTGCTTGTCATGAGATGAGGTGAATTCACTGTGAACCTGATGGCACCAACACTGAGTCCCAGCTCCATCACCCAGCCACATAATCCCAACACTATGCTAGCTCTTTGATTCTTGTTGGTTGCAGAACCATGCAAGATGAGCCTGCGCGATGGTTCATCCGGTGAAGAGTGGATGTGCACATGCGCCACTGTTCAATTCTATGGTCTTGCTAGAATACCTTCACCAAGCTTGATATGGTTCAGCGTTTCATACTTTCAGCAAGCTTGATATGGTTCAGCATATCAGAAGACCGCATTGCCATCCATTGTCAGAGCTGCTCAGCTGCAAACCTTTGATGAACCGCGAGCGGTGTCTCAAGCTGGAGCGGGGTCATGAAGAAGCAGATGCTGCGGTCACAACTTTGCCAGCATTGCACAACCAATGGCATTGCGCATTCAGGACATCTGGTGCGCTGGCCACTTCTGCGGCATCTCAGAGTCAAACCTGGCTACCGCAGACAACGAGATCAATGTCTCAGATGCTTGGTTGGCATCTACAGTGCCAGCAACTGGATGACCGTTGGGTTTTAACGAGGCCCCCTACTGTGGTGAAAGAGGCGCTGGGGATCGGTCTCAATCAGCGAAGCGGGCCCCAAGCATAGCTGTTGAGCTCTCG